AAACACACCGCTCCTATCTGGTGGCACATTAGCTTGACCGCGCAGTGCCCCAAATTTGAATTAAGAGGACCGACCAAGCATCTTCTTCCATCTCCCTGTTGCAGAAATCGCTGCCATATCCATACAAATTGTACAGAATGTCCAGGATAGTTTTCCAGGGACAAATGTTGTAGCCTGTTGAACGAGGTGACCTTGCTCGGGTCCCAGGTGTACGGTTCCTAAAATGGCTGCCATATACACGTCCACTGATAGGAGACGCGGAAGGTATTAAGCTGATCAGAACAATACTAAACACACCACAAATAAGGTTTCTCTCCTGTATGGCTCCTCAAATGATGCTTAAGATTAGAAGCGGCTGAAAAGCATTTCTCACACTCCGAACAAAAATATTTTTTTTAACATTCTCTCCACTTTGAACGAAATGACGTTTGGGAAGAGATTAACATAATTAAACACAGGCAGTAAAAATACAGTTTTTAGCCATACCTTGTAACTTTAAAACTACACATCCCATCTTCATAATTACATATTTGGAATCAGCACACTTAAAACATAAACATAACCAAAAATCAGCCAAATCCATCCAGGGGTTAAAAAGTTAGCTGGAGGTCCCTTTATGACCGACTGCAAAGCTACACATTTTCCTGCCAAAACAGTTCCATAGATTTTGGGCTGTGAGGTACGGTCTATTTCAGGCTGAAAACGGCTAAGTCCCATCGCCGAATGGGACTTAGTCTCTGCAGCTGAAATAAGGCTGAAAACGGCTGAAAAAGACTAAGTCCCATCGCCGAATGGGACTTAGTCTCTGCAGCTGAAATAAGGCTGAAAAAACGGCTGAAAAAAAGACTAAGTCCCATCGCCGAATGGGACTTAGTCTCTGCAGCTGAAATAATTTCCCATTTACTGAACCAAGTGGGAAATAGCAAGGCAGGCACAAAGGGTTTGCACCAGGTCTGGGGACACAGGGGACACCGTCTTAAAGGGGCCGTGTCCCCAACAAGTCTGGGGACACGGCCTTAAAGGGGCAGTGTCCCAATCTTCCTGATGTCCCAAAAAAGGTGTTTAAAGGGCCAGCACCAGTCACATAAAGAGTCCATAAGCCCCAATATGCCCACCGACAGTCTTAAAGGGCCATACACACCAAATAAAAGTGCATACATTTTCACAATCTCCCAGGGGCCATAGTCATGCGGGAGGAGGCTGGCAAAGAGGCTTCTCCACAACCCAGGGAAACAGGGCAATTTGCCATTTAAAGGGCCCGTTACAAATAGCAGTTTGTAACAAGGTGTCAATCCATATCTGCCAAGTGACCCGATGTAGGGGGAACAGTCCCTATTCTGCTCTGTGTCAGTGTGTATCAGGGATCCTTAGGACAGGTGTCAATCCATATCTGCCAAGTGACCCTATGTAGGGGGACCAGTCTCTATTCTGCTCTGTGTCCGTGTGCATCAGGGGCTCTGAGGACAGGTGTCAATCCATATGTCAAGGTGTCAACATGTCATATGTCAGGTGTCAATCCATATTGATTGTGATTTAGGAATGTTAGGTGATTTCTGCCCTTTATGGATTAAAACCAGACTCTGTATCAACTGTGTAATTTTCCATGGGAGTTTTGCCATGGATCCCCTCCGGCATGCCACAGTCCAGGTGTTAGTCCCCTTGAAACAACTTTTCCATCCCTATTGTGGCCAGAAAGAGTCCCTGTGTGTTTTAAAATTCGCCTCCCCATTGAAGTCAATGGCGTTTCGGGCGGTTCGCCGGTTCGCGAACATTTGCGGAAGTTCGCGTTCGCCGTTCGCGAACCGAAAATTTCGGGTTCGCGACATCACTACCCATAAGCACCTGTGAGGGTGTAAGTTTAAAATCAGTTGGAAGTACCCTACTTGTCGCTTCTATGACTTCATCCCAATATGTATGTTTTTGCAGAGATACCATATGCGTTCAATATCACCCTCTACCTCCCCACACCTCCAAGACCAATCACTAATGGGTGGATGAAAGGTGTGAATAATAGCGTGGGTTCTATACCATCATGCTACACGCTTATAGAAAGTTTGCCTCTTTACTAAGCTTACTAAGGCTCCTAAGGCTCCCATTACCCTTCTAAAAATAAACGTCCAATCTCCATCGGATGTTTGTACGGGTAAGTTGCTCATTCATTTCTTCTGAAACGTTAACATTTCTCCTCCATTTACCCCCAATTTAATCATTTGATTATAATCTAGGGAGAGAGCCTTTCATTATCTTATTAATAACACACATTTTTTCAAATGGGGTTATATCGCTTTGCTTTCACTGTGGTTTCACATTTTTCTTTAAAACTGATAAACTTTGTACATCTTATAACATCAAAAAATGTATTGCATTTCGTGGCATCCAATAAACTTGTTGTGGTTGGGAGATTCTCCCCTATCATTATAGAGGAAAGGCTAGAGTTTGAATTCCCCAATACACTTTTGAGCATATTTGTCCCTAGGCTCTCTTGAAAGTCTGGGTTATCTGCCACTGAAAGCAAGGGAAACAATCCTGTAAATATATATTAGTATGGGGTTGGGTGGGCAACTATTTTTACAATGTTGCAAGTCTGCCATAGGAGAGTATGCAAAGGGACAAAAACAAAGTCCTGTTCCATTCCAGCCCATGGTTTTCTTTTATCAGTGTCTGTCCACTCCCTATTAAATAGGGTAGCTGTAATAACTGGCTGTGTGTTTATTTAGTTGAATAAATCTTATATATATATATATATATATATATATATATATATATAAAACAAGGGGGGTTGGCTGCACTCACCTGAACATGCATAAATGGGGGTGCTGCTGGGGGCCAAATAATACAAAACCTATCCACTAAACGGCAACTTCAATGTTGAAAGATTTTATTAGTTTTTTTAAAAACACCTAATCTAGGCAAAAATAATGGGGGTTTAGTTACATTATATGATCATACATTGCATAAGCCTGCCACAGCGTCAATGTACCCCATCTTTGGCAGGTCCTACACTAACAGCCTAATGTCTGCTCTTATGAGATTAACCACTTACTTGAGGAAAAAAATTCCATCTGGGGCTCTCTGCAGTACAAGGCTAAGTAGGGCCCTGGGATGAGGCACCTGTGACAGGGAGGGGTGCAAAACCAAGGAGTTGGCTAGACTCCCAAATATATATATGAAACAAGGGGGGGTTGGCTGCACTCACCTGAACACCCCTCCCTGTCACAGGTGCCTCATCCCAGGGCCCTACTTAGCCTTGTACTGCAGAGAGCCCCAGATGGAATTTTTTTCCTCAAGTAAGTGGTTAATCTCATAAGAGCAGACATTAGGCTGTTAGTGTAGGACCTGCCAAAGATGGGGTACATTGACGTTGTGGCAGGCTTATGCAATGTACGAGCATATAATGTAACTAAACCCCCATTATTTCTGCCTAGATTAGGTGTTTTAAAAAAAACTAATAATCTTTCAACGTTGAAGTTGCTGTTTAGTGGATAGGTGAGTGCGCTGGATCTTGTGTTTTGTATTATTTGGCCCCCAGCAGCACCCCCATTTATGCATGTTCAGGTGAGTGCAGCCAAACCCCCCTTGTTTCATATATATATATTTGGGAGTCTAGCCAACTCCTTGGTTTTGCACCCCTCCCTGTCACAGGTGCCTCATCCCAGGGCCCTGTTTAGCCTTGTACTGCAGAGAGCCCCAGATGGAATTTTTTCCTCAAGTAAGTGGTTAATCTCATAAGAGCAGACATTAGGCTGTTAGTGTAGGACCTGCCAAAGATGGGGTACATTGACGATGTGGCAGGCTTATGCAATGTATGATCATATAATGTAACTAAACCCCCATTATTTTTGCCTAGATTAGGTGTTTTTAAAAAAACTAATAAAATCTTTCAACATTGAAGTTGCCGTTTAGTGGATAGGTGAGTGCGCTGGATCTTGTGTTTTATATATATATATATATATATATATATATAATTCTTTTTTGGGTCAGGCTCGCTGCACTAATATATGTCTATATTAATGAAAAGTACTAATACACAATCTGACGTTCTTTATAAAAAATATGCATTTCTTCTACTTCAACAGCAAACAATAATATACTTAACAGATGGTATTTCCTAACAACACTACAAAGATTTGTCTTTGTATCAGCAATTCAGGAAATCAGAAAGGAGAGCAAAACGTATCGTAGAAGGAAGAGAGCGTGGGCCTTTGTCCTCTGCCCTTTATAGCCTAAATTACGTCATAACGTTTAGTTTAGACTCTGGCCATATAAGGAAATTCCCCATATAAAGACCACCCCAAATATCTCTTATACAGCAAATTCCAGAGACCTCATGGTACAGAATAGCAAATGCCATCTGTTCTGTTTAACCCATTAGACAGCCACACCTTAATATGTATTTGAAAAGGAACATATAGAATATGCAACCATAACAAAATGTTATTTACCTATCCATTCATTCATCATTGGTGTAACGGCACCCTCAGCATAAAAGGGTTAAACCACCATTTAGTAGATCTTCCCCTTCCAGAGACACAGGCACAGCTACTGCAGAACACCAAACTCCCGAACAGGATACAAAGTAGCACTCCAAACTCCTGAACTGGAACCTCACGAATAGCTGCTAGCAGCTGAACAGGAAAAGCACCCAAGCGGCTTACACTCCTGGCAATCAGTCTCTAACAGCATACAGTAAATCCCCCCAAGAACGAGACAAGGCTCCGTTTTGTGGGTCAAGCAGGAACAGACAGAGCTGTGGGTTTATTGTTCGTATATACACATTAGTACCACCCACAGGGTTTTGGAACACAACCAATAAACACATACAATGCACTCAGACACTCCCACACAAAATCCTCCCCTCTGCCTGTGATACAATTACCTTACACAATGGGTAATGTAATTATCACAAGCAGAGAAATAAAATTTACATTTTCAGAATCAGCATACTCCAAATACAAACATATGTCAAAATCATCCAAATTGGTCCAGTGGTTCAAAAGATAGATCGTAGTCCTTTGTGACCAAAGGAAGCATGTTTTTCTGCCCAAAACCAGTTCCACAGAGTCTTCTATCCTGGAGATAATTGGGAAGTAATCCAATTATCTCCAAGGACAGAGGCAAAACTCCATTGAACACATGGCAGCAAAAGACAATAAAACACATAAAAACATATAACTGTGCAGCCATTGCACAAAATAGGTACATTCAACATATCCCCAGATAGCTCAGATCTGAGCGCACATTATTACTGAATGGCGCTCAGAGCACACACATACAGTTCAATTGCCATGGAGCCAAAGTCTTTCCCATAGTCTTTCATTATACGAATGGGCTCCATGGCATAGCTATCTGGGGTATCACCGCTCAAACAGGGCCAGCACCGAATGATCTGGCTTTCGTGTCTCCGCAGGGGGAAAATCAAGCGTTTCAACATAGGACCATAGTCTAA